TCCCACATCTCGTCCAGACAGGTAACCGTCACTTTCCCTTTTAGACCTCCACACGTGGCAGTTGCAACGGAGCCCACCAGAGTGATCAACCTTAGAGGAAATGCAGGTGTCCACCTCACAAGAAGCCCAACACGGTCTACAGCCTTGTTGGGGGATATCCAATGATTTTGCAAGCCAAAGATCTACGACATTGCAACCTGGGAGGCTAAAGTGCCGGACCTGTGGCGACCTGCTGAACGGCATGTCCACGCCCAGAGCTGAGACAATCTCGTCGCTTGGTTCACGTGCCGATTCAGAGACTCTCAGGCGATTCTGTGGAAGCTCCCAGGACCCTTTAGGAAGAGGACCTTCCAGGTGACTTCCACGTTAGCCCGAGGGAGGGTGTCCCAAACAAGTTGGATGTTTCGTCCCCGATTGAAGTCATTTGAAAACGGCATTGACTCGCAGATTAACGTGGAGCCCAAAAGAGGAGAATCCCCGCAAGGAATTCCTCTTCAAGTTCGAGGTTTTGAGAGTCCCATGTTGACTTGCAGGGGAGTAATTGAATGTGGGGCAAGTTTTGGAGGCTGCTCCCACGAGCTTGAGAAGCAGTTGCCAGAGGGTACCAGGAAATCACCTGTTGCATGTTGCTTCGTGAATACCCTCCCCCTTCGAATGACCAACCTTGATCCCGTGATCCCGTTGCTTGTGCTAGGCAAGGGCTATCATGGACCCTGCCAGAAAATGTAAGACCATCCCAAACAGCCTTACACCAGGAGTGATCATGCCCCATCTTAAATCTCGAACATTTGAACAACTAGAGCAGAAGTGGGGCGGACTCCCCCCGGGTGCTGAGTCAAGTGGATCAGGCTTGTCATATGCCCCACGGAAATAGACCAAGTCAGGCAGCACACCCTGAAACTGAAAGGTTTCGCTCACGCCATGTCGGGCTGAAAGCGCTTTCACGTGCAGCTTAAACTCATGAACCCGTTTTGGACCTTCTTTAAAGCTTTTGATTGCAAGCCCGCATGCTACCGGGGTCCGATTGAAAGTTATCAGCTCTTTTGTGTTATGCAAGATAATTCTGCCGCCCAAAGGTGTTTGGGACCTCATGGGGAGCCCTAACTTTGGCAATGGTGATTTGTTACAAATCACCCCGACTGTCAACATTCCACCCATGGAAACTGTTTATGAGGGCTGGCTTCCATCGAATCATGGAATCTCCACCACCCGTGATTCACAATCTGGGCTGATCAGCCCAGTTGCCCAGCGGCAAACGATTTTCCTATTTTGGCGAGAGCCGCAAAAACGGGTGCCTCGTTTTCTCGAGGTCACCGAGCTTCTGAGTCAGGGCTTATATAAGATTACTGGCTCCGGCCAATCACATCGCCCAGGTGCCGGAAGATGAAAGCGATGGGCTACATAGGCCCAGCGAGTGAGACGATTTCCCCGAACGCGCTGTCTAATTCGTTGGGATTGAGGAAGCGATGAGGACTTGGAAAGGTCCCCGCAAACTTGTCGAGACACTGTCACATACAGCAAGACCATGATCATGATTATGATCATGATTATGATCATGATCATGATCATGATCTGATGATGCTGCTGCTGATGATGATGATGATGATGGTGCCGCCGTGCTGCTTTCAAAGCAAACGGGTGTCAGCCCCGGAAATGTCACAAGACGTAGCCGTCCTCAACGACCCCAGCTAGAAATGGGTTGCGTGGTTGAAGTTACTTTCCAAATAATGTGCAAGTAACAATTGCATCCTTCTTCACTTTTTGCCCCATGCCGACTGTTTACGTGAGAATGCTGGAACCAAGCTAAACTTCCGCAGGTTGAGGTCGTCCCAGAAATGCAACTGAAAACTTCTAGGCGCGAGCCCCTTCTACAATGATCTTTTGGAGCAGAATTCATCCAGACTGCCAAGCGGCTCTTCCAAGAACAGGGGGAACCAAAGTTTTGCACCTTCAGGCCCCAACTCGGCGAATTGTCCGCGTGATTGTTTTTCCCCAGAGCATCCCCCCAGAAAGTGAACGGGCCAATATTGCGCGGCAGAGGTTGTTACGGCCCTTGGCTCCGCGCTTGGCTTTGGCTCCCCCCCCCCAGGCCCCTCCTCCTCCTCCAGATGCCGCCTTCTAAGACTTGAAACTTGTGAGGGAAACCTGGCACACCAGGTTGTGAACAGACTAAAAGCATTCATTCCATTCGTTTTTAAGCCGGTATGAACAAGCTCACCTTCCCCAAGTGACCCATCCAGCCGCAAAGGATTTGGGGACAGCTTCAGCCGAATCAGCCGACTGCGGTCGCTCCTTCGGTGCTTTGTGCAGAACCCGCGGTGAACGGCATGAAGCCGGTGGACCGGCCGGCCTCCAGCCCCAAGTCCTCCAGCTCGCCTGTGGCCCAGCGCTTTGCTTGCGGGCGGTTCCTGTGGGCATGGAATGGAACTGGCCCCGTTGGGGCCCGTTGGGGTGCAGAGAAGGGCAGCGTGAATGGAGTTTCCTTTGGGGCACGGTGATAGTTCAAGGGAAATTGTCATATTACGTATTTGTGCATGTGCAGTGCATGTAATATGCAAAATATACATAATATATGTATGTGTACGCATTTTGCATTACGAACATCTACACACACACACACATGCCAGGAACTCTTTAGGACGACCTATGTCTCACCTGTTTCCACGCGCTTGAGGGGGCTGAATGTAAGAAAGCTGCTTCTTGGTTGGTTGGTTTTAAAAGGAGTTCCCTTTTTGCTGGCTGGTTCGAAAAAAGGAACCATTGCGAAGAAGGGCATATTTTGGTGCTGCAGGTTGTTCGAAGCAGGCCGGAGCCGAGCCAACAAAGGTAAGGAGGGCAAAATCAATCTCGTGCAGTATGATTTGGGGCTTCCAACAGATTAGGGCATAGCAATCGCCCCGAGGCTCACCCAGAAGATCCGAAAGGGCACTGAAGGCAGAGAGCGGGAGACGTGGGTAGAGTTGTACATGATATTCTGCCGCTGTTGGTTTGTGCCGGCACCCATGGAACCAATGCACAGTGTGTTTTCATGTTGCACGGTGATATTTGGAAGGGATAGAATGGGAACTCCATTCTACTTTATTTGGGAAGTGGTCCCCCGAAGGCGGTTTTCCGCACTTCCATGGGCTCCCTGTACATCCCCAAAGAGGAAGGGGGCGAGGTTCAAAGTTTGATGACTAGATCCGTTAATAGTTTATCATGTACTCCTGCTTGTAGCACTGGAGAGCCAACCAAAGGATTGATAGTCTACTGATCGGCAAACAATTGCAGTTTCGATGTACTGGGGACCTGTCGGGGTGCAAAGCCCAGCTGCGATAGAATTGCTTCATTTTGAGTTGCTGCCTGAGAGGTCGAAAGGCTCATGCCTTCTTGGGCGTGATGGCGTTGTTTCATGTATGCATGTGTTTGTGGTTGTTTCAGGTGTCTCTGGTTAGGGTGATTGCTGCCGTGGTGATTGCAGGCTTATGTGGTTCCATTTCTGCCTCGCGTTCCATTTGCAAAACGTGCGAAAAGGGGGTTGCCCAATTAACTAAGATACCCGCCAGTTCCGGCTGCCTTGCACTCAGTCCCGGATGCGCCAAGTAGAGCAGTTACTGTTTGATTTGGATAAGACGGAAGCACTGAACGAACATGTTTTGCTCCTCGCCTGCAAGCAGTGAAGGAACTGTGGTGTTCTTCCCCATGTCAAAGGAGTCCGGCCCAAGGGCCCTGCACAATTTCCAATGTCACCTCGTGGTGAAAATGTCTAATGTCTAGTCGGTCATCCTTTGAGCTGATAGCTTGAGACGCCTTAAAATGGTTGTCCAGCTTCCTCTTTACTTGTTGACCTGTTCGGTTTAATCCCTGGCAGCACGACCCGTTTGCCCTTGACAATCTGACACATGCAGGCCGGCCCCACATCTCGGGGCCGTCCAAGCCTGATGCAGAAGGTGCGGCGGAACATGCGCTTTCAACTTTCGGGTGGAGAAAAGCCATGGGTAGCATTCCACGCATCTTTCTTCACGGATCAGTGGGAATGGGTCGTTTTTTAAAGGACCCTTTCCAGGTTGTTTTCAACATTTGAAGCCCGTACTGTGGCCGGTAACGTGCTTAGCTTTGTTGTATGTTGTGTTTGATGCCGAAGGACCGAGTATGATTGAAGTATGATGTTGGCAGCTTCAGGCGGGCTTTATCTTTTTGGGAGGGCTTGATTTGACCACACACACCCGGGCTACAAGCAGCGGAAGCTGATTCTGCCTGCATGAGCTACGATTTGCCGTGATCAACGGTTCATTCTTGCTGAGCATGCCGATACTTGTCTCGGTGTGCATGCATGCATCTTGCGGCGAGCTTGCCGTAAGAACTGCACACGAGGGCCAGTTTTGATCATGAAGGAGTCATGAGTCTCTGGAATTTCCTATTGCTGACGTTGCAATGGGGTTGATGACCTCACATTGACATGGGTCTCCTCATTTTGGGTTGGTGAACACACGCATCGTGCGCAGAGAGACTTCACGTGGCGAGCAGATCCGCCACTTCCCCGCAGCTGTGAAGCTCGTGAAGGCGATAGGGCCGCTGCCCATGAAACTGGGCCAATTCTGGCAACCTCCTGTACGGTCCTGTACGGGTTTAAGACCTGTACGGGTTTTTCTCATAGAAGGTCGATGAACAATGATGATTCATACTCTTCAGTATTTCTTCGGGCTTTTCAAGATGACCTCAACCCCATGAGGCTCTGGCACTGGGCCCTTCACAGCTCTTACAGCTTTGCCGCAGACAAGCAAGCACTGGTTCCCATCTGCCAGCTGCAGCCACAACCTTTTCTCTACCGGCCATCAGCCTTTCGACCGACTTGCGGCTAAGCCAGATTCCAGTTGTTTGGGCCTGTTGATTGCTTGCTCGTGGTTGGCCATGTTCCGGACAGGCAAACTATGGCAAACTCATTTATCGGAAGGTCGTGGGAACGCTTCGAGACACAGAGAGAGAGATGGAGACAAAGAGCATTGCAATATAAACCTCCACCTTGCTAAATGCCAGCTGTGCCCAGTGTCCTGCTCATCGAAACATGGCAAGGACTGCTACGGATTTTTACCAGCTGCCGACAGTCTTGACACGTGTTGGCTGGGCCTCGGGGGAAGATTCGTATATTGAGGCATCTAACAGATATACCTGGCTAGGATCCGATTGCGCTGTCAAGATGATTGCAACATTCGGGACGCCACAGATTGATTTGCAAGATTACATTGCTTCAGAGCAACTAGGGCTGTTGAGGCACGGATTGCGTGAGGTATTGGCGGAAAAGGATAAACTTGTTTGATCGGGGCTGGTTGTCTGGCGAGTGTGTCATGTTCAGACTGGTTCCTTTCGCGCAACTTGCTCGCCCTTAGGATTATTCAATGGAAGTTAATTGCCACTGTACGATCAATTACAAATACCAAGCATGTGTGACCACTTTGCATTTTTGTGCTGACGTTGCTGATTCTGCAAAGGGAGCGTGACCCTTAGGAACTGAAACAAACACCCCGCAAACAATGCTGCAGCTCAATGGGGCACTGTCAGTGTGGGTCTTGTTATTTTCCCTGGCAGGACATGGAAGGTCATTGGCGGCGCTCCCGTCAGAGATTTGTGGGTGGGTGGGAGGCTAATGGTGTTTGCGAAAAAGAGGATGGCATACCACCCACGCACAGGAACCTGAGAGACGGTTTTGAGCGCGGGTTTGGAGTGGGCTTCTTGATGCCAGCAGTGTAGACGAAGCTGGCCAGGTGGCGACAAGGGCGGTCTGGTGGTGCGATCAGGCGCGACGCACGGCAATGGCTTGCATTGACAACCCCGATATCCCCAACCCACAAGGCCCCTTGCTCTGAAATTCCAATTAGACAAACCTGCTCTTGATTCCCTCCCCCCCCTGCGGAGGGCGAAGGTGGTGGGCACACCGGCACACCCAGCTTGACTTTTGCATGTCATTGCATCTGGATTTGCGTCATCACTCCACATATTGGAGGTGCCCCTGTGTTTGATAGCACCTTTGGCCGACCACACATCTCTCACCTGAAGGCAAGTCTCTGACTTCAGAGCAGCTCCCTGAGCGCTTGTCCACCGGTGCTTTGGTGAAGGACTGGGGTTTTGTTGCCGAGACCACTGGTGCTTTTTGTGTTTACCTTTTCGTTGGATTCAGAATCAACTCCCCAAACAAGAGGCCATTCTGTATGTGGCCACCGTGGGACTGGTATTGGATGAATCGGGCTGGTGAATCTGAACAGGCCAAGATCAGTTGTTGGAGTGGACATGACGGACAATCTGACCGGCGGAGACTTTGAGTGAATGGATGTAAGCACCTGCGTGGTGAATCTTGTGACTTGCAGTTCGCAGACACTCTGATTGCAGTCTTTGTTGATTGAATGTGCAGATGTTGTGGATGAATCTAGCTGGGCCAGGATCTAGCCTTGATAGGTAGCGAAGGTGAACACAACGTCAGTGTCAAGTTTTGCAGAAGCATCCCAGCTGAACAAAACACATAGTTTTCCCAACCATTTGGAATGAAGTTGTTTGTTCTGAATCTTCCTCGCAGGAGAATCTAGGGAGATGAAGTAGCCCGCGCTGGTAATGTTGGAGGTCCCCCAACCAAATGGGGCACCTCTGTCTCAGAACAAAAGCGCAAGGGTTCCTTTCGAATGCACGTGTGCTCCAAGTGTTCGATGGCGATTGCGCAAGTCCAGCAGGGTTCCATACACTCAGGGTTCCGTCCAACGTTCGTTTCAGAAGTGATATGATGTCCCGAATCCTTTGGGAAAAGTGGACCGGCGTTGCCCACTGGGGAGAAGCGACTCAACCAGGGAATCATTGCTTGTGGCCTTTTCGGGGCCAGTTCTGCATGGCATCAAAAGATCTTTAAACAAGGGACCCGACCACGCTATGGCAGGCTTCGTGGCTTGGTTTGCACCCCGTGGCATTTCAGTATGCGGTTGCTCGTGAGAGGGAGATATGCCAGCCAGGTTGAAGGTTTGATCTCAACTTTGACACGGTATGGCGACGTATGGATCAAGTTGACGTCCTTCTCTTGAGGGTTTGCTCAATGTCGCAAGCCGCCCCCGCCTCCCCTTGGGTAGTTCCTTTAGCTTTCATCCACAAGGGGTTCCTGAATGTAGAAAAGACCCCACACGCCACATGAGAGTCTCGTCAACAATAGGTTTCTGCGCTTCTTAGTGCCCTAGCGTCACCGTGACACCGTTGTACCCCGAATTGAAAGAAAAGGATACTCTACTCAAATGAAGTATTGGCAATCATGTGGTGGGTGTGTCCCAAAGTGCCTTCACATGGGCGGCTTCCTTTTTGTTTCTCATATCCAGAAGATCAGATGAGCTTGGTTGTGGCTCTTCCTGTTCTTGTCTAGTCTTTGCCCAGATTCCCAGGCTAGGGCTGTTGAGGATTTGGGCTGATTTTCTAATTGACCGACGCTCTCCTTTGGGCCCCTCTCGACAACGATCCCAGGAGCTCAAGCTGGAGGGTGAGCGCCTGCAGTTTCAGCGCGAGACCGGCGCAGGTGGGCCAACTTTCATCACCTTATCCTGGGGTTGGTTTAGGGGTTGGTTTTCGAGATGGCCACATGCGTAGCAATTTGGCTGCTCGGGTGTTCTTCCGCAGGCTTGCGGCACTGGCTGGTGAAGACAAGGTTGGTGAATACCCCTGCTGCCTTTGTCCTGGGTAGGTGTTCTTCAAGCAGTGAAAACGCCTCCCCAAAAGCTCGCTCATTTTTTGGCAGAGCCTCCCGTCAGCTGCCTTTGCCCGGACGGTCCCGAGTCCAAGGTCCCAGTCCATTGGTCCAGTTAGCGCCGGGGAACCTGGGACCTCTTAAGAATTCACGAAAGGTTTACTGAATGTGGTTGCCAGGATCTACAGAAAAGAGGATTTTCATGGGGTGTAGCCGGTGAAGTAGCCCTGAGGGGCCAGGAGGGGGTTCATGAATAGCTGTCCCCTCAAATCAGTTTGGTTGAAAACAGATTGGTTCCAGGTTGAGTTTCTTCGACACATTCATTTGGAGATTACAACGAGCTCACCTGGCGAGCTCACGTGCAGGTACGACGAGTTCGCCATACTCAAGATCCCTTACTTGGGGATTCCTTTTTTTTTCCGGTTTGGGCAGTTGTAGTAACTTGATCAGATCGGCAGCGCTAGGCCCCGAGACGGGCTGGGTGAGCCTGAAGCTCAAAGACAAGGAGCGCATTCGAGCTGAGCCCGATGCTGGCCCGGGTTGCCCGGTGGACGGGTTTCCATGATTTTCCCTTTTTTGAATCGCACCTTCTGGGGGGACTTTGTGGTCCACCGTTAGTTTTGTTTCTGTAGTTCTGGGCCAGTTCTGGAACGGGTAGGGGGGGCGAGTTCGGTTTGTGTTGGGGGGGAGATATTTTGGGGGGTTTGAGGGAGCCGGTGCCCGAATCATCGTCGGAAGTCAGCTTCGTGTTCTGAAATGCGGAAGTCGACAAAAAGCACCCCAGGGACTTCTATGTTAGGATTATCCAAAACATGTGTTTTTTGACCAACCTTCAAAAACAAAACAAAGCTTCGGAGCTTCCTGTTTAATTACAGGCAGTGTAAGACTTGAATCCTGGGTGCAGGGTTGAATGCTAACCGAATTCAGGTGGGGGTCCTTTTGATGTTGGGAGAGTGTTTAGGTGAGTCGTTTGAGGGGTGGTTCCACCCTGTCTCCAAACCAGGATTGCCTCTAAAAAGGAGGGGAACTCTCCCCTGCAAAGAGAACCGTCAAGCAAGAGGTCAACTCAGGAGAAGCATCAAAGTGTCAGAGCAAAGAGTATCACAGAGATGTAAAGCCCAGGAGATGTGTTGATACCGTCTCAGTTCAAGAAGAAAGGGTCTACTTGTGTTGCCCCTGACTAAATGTAAAAGAACCAACAGATCGAAAGATTGAGTTCGAACAACTGCACGAGTGAGTGCAGGTACGGCAGAATTTGAACAATAGTGTCCTTGATCCCCTTGGAAGATTCCTCAGTGTTGCATAATGTTGCAAGTACAATGGTGTAGCCCTCGTCTCCCCACCGTCCAGGCCGGTGCCCCAAAATGTTTTGTGTTGCCCGAATCATTTTGCAGGTTGTTGGTATACCCCTTTTGGGATTGGCTTGAAGTGAAATACAACAGAAGTTATCCATCCACAATGATGAACAACCCCAGATGCTGTTTTGGTGGAGAAGACCTCTAAAATGGTTGGTGGACATATGCCTCCACTGTAAAATGTGTCCACCAAAGGGCCCGCAACCGAGCCTCACAACGTGTAGGGCTAACCCCTGTTTGCTCTTGGCTCCATTGCACCTCTCACTCCCTGATTTCCTGGACTTCATAGTTGTTGGAAAGATATGTTCAGTGGCAAACAGCAGGTTTTCTGGGCAACTCACTGCCCTGGGGTTCAACCCCCAATACAACAGAGGTTGACCAGATTTAGATGATGACCATCAATAGAAAAAATACGGTGGTGAACCCCAGGGACTGAGGAAGTGCGGCCCTACGTTTGAAACCTTTCCGCAGGAGCTCCTGTCCTTGGTGGAGGGCGAGAAGCCAGCGCCAGCGCCGGCCAAGGAGCGGGGCGGCTTCTTCAAAGCGACGGATGTGCAAACCAACGGGGGGGAGAAGGGGACGTGACACAATTGGAGATTTGGGGCTTTTCGGGAGGGACCCCAGTGACGCCTGTTACAACAGCCGTGGATGAATGGGCGGTTTGTCAAATCCTCCTTCAAAATTCAGTTACCTGAAGAAGACGTCCGGCTGCCTTGCAGGTTCGGGGTTTCTAACAGACCATGTGGGGGGACCCGCGAAAAAAATGTGCTTGAGAGCAACTACGAAATGTGCATTTATCCGTCCCGAAATATCGAAGCTGGCTTGGGGAATCATGTCGCTCGTGAAACCCAGGGCTGCTAGCAGTTGTATTGTTGTGCGTTTGAACCTGTGCTTCCCGTTGACCAGCTTTGTGCTCTGGATATTGTGCGGAGATTGTGAGTCAGCGTAACTCCATGTTTCACACTTGTGCTGTGGACGGACGAGGTACTGCCTGGATGCATGTTCGCGTGGCGTGCAGGGTGGGCGGGCGGGTGGGTGGTGATTTCCACGCAACCGCGGTGGTTCTGGCATTGGAGGCTTAGCCAACATTTGTTCAAAGGGGCCTTGCCGCTCAAAATTCGCGAAAGGCATTCCAACGAGGCTCGGATGCCAAAAAGAGACTCTTTCAATTCGGACCCAGTGCGATTTGTGTCCGAGGGGCCGGGCCAGCTAGTATGACCGCTCCCCAGAGATTCTGTTGGAGATCATTTGAGGAAGCCTGTCTACTGCCACATTTGAGTGCTTGCCAACGCAAGCTAAATGTTGACTATTTTTACTGATTTTCGAGGCAACAGTCATAGCTGCTTGATGATCTCTGGAAAGAAAGTTGAAGACGTCCGGAGAGAAGGCACATTTCTACAAAATTCAAAGAAAGGCTCCACGGCTCCATGGCTGTTTCGGTCAAACACATCCCAGTTTGCCCTTGGCGGCGCCTGAAGGATTCTCTCAAGAAGAAGTCCTGGGAGCCTTGGCAAGTGCGCCAGAGCTAGGATCCTAGGACTTCGGTCAGTTCCCCATCAGGGAGTCTAACATTTGGAGCTTTGTGCTCAGTTTCCCATTGACCAGTTTACGCTTTTGCCATCAGCTTGCGCCCTGGGATCCTTAAGATGCTGCCATGTGCGGTGTGTGTGTGCCTGCCGAGTGAGTTTGGTTTGTGGGTATTTGTGGCCCTGCTGAAAATGTTGCAAGCAAGCCAACTCAGCTGCATGTCTAAGGATGTGTTGCGAGTGCCATGACAGGGGGCTTAACTCAAGTTTCCGGACACAACACATACATAACATTTGCCCTGCACGGACTCTTTTCGGCTTTGGCCAAAGGAAAATGTTTGCCTGACAGGATTTCGGTTCGGGAAACTTCCTGACGACCCAACCACGGAGTTTCAGTTCTCCTATTTGAGTAGATCAACTCAAGTTTCCGTGGCTACTTTTGCACGTCGCGTTTGGTTCAATGCTTTGAGAGTCACTGAGCAAGATTTGGGAGACCGAAAGGTGAGGACCTGTTTACAGTACTTGCCGGGGCCAGACCCCTTGGTTGCAAGTGAGTATGTGGCAACAAATCGGACCACACTTCCAACAATTGCTTGCATGTTGGTTCTTCACCATTTGCTGGTTGCAAGCGAGTCGCACCCAACCTGTCCTAGATTTTAGTGGTCAACAAGAATTGTGCCTCTACCCATTTGTTTGAAGCAACAAAAGACATTTGAGTTAACAAAGCATATCTTGACTACCGCCCAATTGTCCACTCGGATTTGTCTCAAAATGATAGAGCCGCCAAAAATTGGAAGCAGATTGAAGGTGTCCCTTTGGTTTCCATGTTACACCCACACAAGTGGTTCCCTTCAAAAGGGGCATACCCTGTGTTTCACATAGATACACACTCGCAGAAACAACATTTTCAGCGAACATACGAAGTTGACGTGACATGAGCGGAAAACTGAAGCTTCCGAGGACACCCCCGACCAAGTGTGGTTTAGTCAACGCCCCCTCCCCCAGGCCTTAGCATCGTTGTCGGAGTCGAACGTTGTGAACAGTTCCAAATGGATATGCGTCAAAAAGGGGCCCCAAAAATGGTGAGCCGCCCTGTGTTTTCTCTTTCAACAACAAGCCCGGAAAAGGTTACCCTCAAAAGAGAGACATCTATGTCATGTGGGTCTATAGGATATACAATCAGTACCAACTCCCCATATTATGTTGCCTTATTGGTCAAAAGGAGGGGGGTAGTGAAAACCCTCAGATTCTGAGTCCAAAATCCCTTCCTTTTCTCAGTGCAAAAACCAACACGGTTTTCACAAGGAATGGTTTTGCCGGGGGGCCATGATCTCAGGGACCCAGCTGAGTACTGGCAAGATTTGGATTCTTTTCTTTTTCGGGAGGCCTTTTAGTTGTATCAGGAAACCAAAAGAAGCTAAAACCATGTTGCGGCGACTTGTTTTGGAAAACGAACCGAGGACACCAAGTTCTTGTTCAAGGGCTGCGGCGCCAACGTGCGCGCGCTGGAGGGCGGCACGGAGGGCGCCAGCCGGGATCAGCTCTTCGAGCAGCTCGGCAGCTTGTGAGTTGACTGCGCAGATCACAAAAGGGTAAAACCACGCAGACATATCCAGATATGGTTCATGGTTTGGTTTAAGCTTTGCGCTTCCTGACTCAACATCCTAATATCTGGAAGTATCCAAAATTTGGTGAACCATTGCAGCCTGTGGTTCATTTGGGAGAAACATGCTCACTTGGTGTGCTCGCCAAGTTTGTGGCTCAATTTAGCGCCAAACATGGTCCGCTCCTGGGAAGGTGCGTGTGTGTGCTGCCATTTCAGCTGGGGTTCAAGGCAAGCAAGAAAAGAACGCCATTTGTAGGGTTCCCATTTTGACACAGCCCCAAATGTTTGTCTCGAGGGTGTCTTGTTTTAGAACATACCAAACAGCAGCAAGTGAGCCCTTCCCAAAGAGTACCCTACTCCCAGGATCAAAATAAACATCCAAGATAACCCCTGCCAGTGAATATATGTATCGTGTAATGCATATATATATATATATGGTTTCGGTCGGCGAGCGGCTACCCCCCCAATGGTATCCCCCCCACTTGGGGGGGGGTGGCCGCTCGCCGACCGGGGTACGACTCTCGAAGCCTTGGCCCGGGGGAGAGGCCTTTTGCAAGATGACCATAACCTGCAAACCCAGCGGGCCCACAGGGGGAGGAGGGGGTGGGGCCCTATTTAAGGCTACCATGACCATGGCCGGGGATGGGGGGGGGCCAGACCTCTACCATATATATATATATATATATATATTTGCTATCTCCCCCCCAATGGTTTGTTGTTAGTTGTGGCATTGGCATTTGTTCCCCGGTCCTCTTTGTTTTTTTTCTAGGCCCAGAAGAATTGCATGCTGAGTAAATACACACCCAGTAACGACTGTGCGGTGTCCGATTGATTCCCATGCCAAGAACTTGAGTGGAGAAACGCCGCATTGGTTTTACAACTAATGTCAGGAATGTATGAATTCGAATTGGCCTCTAGGGACGTCCGCCAATAGATTAGGTGAATTCGGATTTCATTGGAAGGCCAGGTTCTTTGTCTCGTGCTGAGCTCGGTTCAATGTCATATACTTACCGATGAGATGGAGTGAGGCTGCTGAGCAGGATCAAGCAGGATTTGACAAGACGGCTATGCAGTGCCAGCTTGTTGCACAATGTCCACTAGTGCCCAACAGAATCCAAATCCCCCCCCAACCACAGAGGACGAGATTGCAATGAGTAGTGGAACCTTCTCCCCCAAACTTGCAGAAGCATGTTATGGTCAAACAAACGAGCTGCAGCCATTCATGGTTGCAGTACCTCTTTTCCCAGCAGCCATGGGCGGAAAGAGATCACCCCCTATTCGGGGGTTTCCAAAATGAGGCAGTTTTCAGCCGACGGCAAGGCACCTCATGCGGCAGCACGTGAGCCCGGAGTTGCGGAGGGACTTTTGGGATCAGATCCCGGAGCATCTGTACGACACGGGCCAGACCAACGCCCGCGCCTCAGAGTCAGATCTGGCCACCGAATTTGTTCTTCCGGGGTCTTTGGGGCGGTGAGAGGGCAAGGCTTCTCCAAATGCATCGAATCGGTTTCAAGCTTGTTTCTTGGAGACGTGTCTTTTTGATCCATCCAAAACGAAGGCTGCACATGTCGAACAGTCTAATTAGACGAATGTTTTGAAAGAGTGACCTAACAGCATGGCTTGGCTAGCTGTATTTGCCAAGAAATGCGCAGCACTCAGCGACTGAGCCTACTGGCGGGTATGGAATAGATTGAAACGCATTAGAAGCGAATGCCATTGAAGCTTCAATAGGCCCATGTCCCTCAAAACAGCTAGCGCGCACACATGGAAGCTGAACCGGCTCTTCGTGTGCCAAAGCACGGATTTCACATGTTTGTCTTTCACGGGGTCACCGACGGTACCTTACTTTCGACTCGTAGCCATACGTATCGCCGGTTTCATGGCCACTTCGTGGGGCCCAAGCCGTCCCGTGACGTTGCCAGGAGACCGACTGCATCACCTTCTTCCAGACGGTGGGCCACCTTTGCCCGGCCGAAGGCAGGGAAGCCGATCGAAGCCGCCGGAGAGTGATGAGTCGCCGGTGTGTTGAAGCCAAGAAGTTGGGGTCCCACGCGAGTGACGGGCGAGAAAGGTTTGGAGGATGCTGGAATTGTTGCGTCGTGCTTTAGATAGATTGGACATGATTGGATAAAAACAGGTTCGCAAAGTTTCCTTAACCTTATCCAGGGAAAGGCCTGTCGGTGCGGTATGGCTGAATGAGATTGAAACTTGCGTGGAGCCGTGTTTATAACTTGTTTCAGGCCACCTCAGTTTGGTGTTTGGCTGATTGAGGGGTTTGATCAGTCGCGAGAAGCAAATTAATTGTTCCGGTGACACGGTGGTAAGGCCAGTGCACAACTCTTTGGACAGGTCAGCGCTGTTTGCTGAATGGCTGTTGCAGTAGTGCCAGATTCTAAGGGAAATGCGACCAGAAGCGCTTTGATTTGTGCATAATCTCTTAAATCCATGGTCGCTGCTGGCATGTGTCGGGTGTCTCCGAGACTGCCCCGCCTGCAAGTACCCACAGCAACAACGGAGAGGAGACAGAAGACCACTGTGCAACAACAGTCTACGTACATCATGCATGTGGCTTTGCCAAGCCATAAAGGGGTCAACGAGATCATGGCGTCCCACTCTCACACAACATCTCCAGTAGTCTTGTGCAATCTGAGAAGCATATGATGGCACTTAGCTCCTCAAGTTTACTACCAAAACCATCAAGATCCGAAGGCTTGCTGTTTGTCCATTTTATGGAGTGACCGCATGGCTCGTGGGCATTGGTAGCCCCAGGGCCCACCTTGAGGCCGGCGCTTGGCCTCTCCCGGCGGCATACGACAGCGAGTGGAGAAGTTTGGGGAGATGAAATGCCGCTGGGCGAAAGGAGGGGAGGAGAGGATATGTTAATTTGTCAAAGACTTCGTACTGGGTGGCTTAGAGGTATGCTGGTCTTGTATTTGGCTTCTTTTCGGAGCCCATGTCATCCAACACCATCGGAGATGAGTGGTGGACATAACCAAAGGGTTCCCAAGTATGATTTATGGCCGTGCGTCAAAACAAGGAACCCGTTTAACAACATGGCCGGGAGTAGGGTCAGCAGTGGCAATGTGTTGAAATGCACGGGGAACTGGTACCGGCTGTCCCGTATTGAATACCCTTGCCAAGCCTCCCACAACTTTTCCGGTGAACGTGAAAAGGATGGCTGGCAGGAGGGGATCTCAACATTTCCCCAGGCGCCAGCCACCAAGGGTTACAACAGCCGCAACTGATACCTGTTCTTAGTCGTAGCCCGCAGCGGCTTGCTTTTTGTTTTGGTTTTTCCTGGGCCAATGCAGCGTAATGCAGCAGCTTCCCAGCATCTGGATTCCTGAAGCGAGGGGGGTAGGACGTCCTTTTTCATTCTGTATGTGTCTTTTGCGTAGACTCCTTTCATACCAGGTGCTGATCTTGACTCAAGTGAGCCTGCTTGTTCAAGAATAGAAGCCTCTATACATGTCCCTTGCTGCTGATGTTAAAGCTCCGGGATACCATGCTAGAAGGCAGCCAGCCATCAGTCATGCGATGTCCTGTTGCTTGTAGCCAGCCAGCCAGCCTTGTTCCCAAAAAGGCCTTGCAAGGGCTCGGAAAGCCCTGCCCCAACCTACATTTTGGAAAGTCGCCCTGTCTTGGCACCCCCCCAAAACACAAGCGAGGGGGCTTGAGCCGTTGTTTACTTTTCCTAGTTGGGCCAGCCTCGAGGCATCGTGGTGGAGTGTGACGCGGAGCCCAAAGTGGTGGCGGTGCTTTGCCACGGCATCGAGGCGCGCATCGTCGACGCAGGGTTTTGTGGAGCAGAGGGGCTGGGGGACACAAGGTTTCCAACAATACCTGGGTGACTCACAACTACCCTCATGCCCAGTACGTGTAGCAGCAGATTGTTGTC